AGACCGACCTACCACTGGCGGTTCTACAGGTCGCAGGTTCAACTCTTCGAGTTGACGCAGGTATTGTACACAGGTAAGTTGGGGAACTAGGGATCGAGCCCTGGGATCTACCTCAGCTACCACGAATTGGTGAATACCGTTTCACTTCTCATAATCGACCATTTTGGTCACCCGCAATGCAGATCAATAAAATCAAATAAACATTTAACCAGAGACAAAACGGGAGGTAACAGGAATTGAGGTTTCCCTTCAGTACTCACTCAATTACTGTCACCTACCTGGAGAGAGAAGGTTGGTTAGTTCTGAGCAAGTGAGTGCTAAGTCTCAACAGACCGCTTGAGGGTCAGGGTCAGTTTAGAGTACACTCAGCAAAAGTCAATTTCACGATTTTCCCATCCCTGCCCTGGCACAACAATTGCATGGAATAATTGCAAATCCTGCGTTAATAACTGACAGGATGCAGTCTTGGACTAATTAGTGGTGATTAGTAATTAGATAGAGTGACTAATTAGGGTTTGACAGGTGTCCGCTGATGACCAAGATGCAGCGATTTACAGGTCACCCTATTTTTAGACCTACCCTACATACTTCATGGGTATGGCGAATTACAGTTTTCACTGTAACTGACTTAGAACATCAAATCTGGATGTGCGATTTCAAACACAGACTGAGTATTGAATTGCGATTTTCCAGGGACCGACATAATTGAATTCTGACGGACAGAATCAAAGTTATGACTGACCCTATTCTAGCCAAGCTTTAGATATATCAGCGCCGAGTTCAAATTTGCATGATCACTAAAAATAGGACCCTGAATTCACCAATTCACTGCACAGTATAAATCGCAATACCGTAAAGCAATCACAAATGAAATATGAGTAAGAAATAAGGTTAGACAGGGTTAGTAGAAGTCAAAGGAGATAGGTAGGGGAAGTTGGATATGGCTGTCCCACAGTCTGAATTTCGATTTTCAACTATAACTTGGCAGACATACCAAATTTCGCTATTCTAAAAATAGTCCCAGAATCGCCACACAGGATGGAGTAAGGAACACACTTACTTCAGGGTCAACTCTGATGCATGAAACCCTGGCTATGGCTGACTGGTCAACCCCATCTCGCCAGTTCCATCTCCTGAGAGTATATAGTGTTCCCACGTACCAAATTGCCTGAACCTTGGTGATCCAGTGGATTACCCTGAGGTGCTTCACCCCCAACTGACAGATTCAAAGAATTCGGACTCCCAGGTGCCAATAACTGACAACTTCAGTGCAGGGCTACATCACCCTGTACTGCGCTGCTTGGAAATTGGGGATCCTGACCCAATTCCACAATCGCAACCTCCTGGGATCACTTCCCTGCCAATCGTCAGCCTCCAGATGAATCGCTAGGCTAAAAATAGCCTCCCAGAGCCTTTCAGGCCTCTGAGCACCCATTGCCAACAACTCCTGCACAACCCTAGTCAGGAGTGAGTCACCCTCTGTCCAATTCTTCTCGCCACACACTCACAGCCACCACCCTTACTGACAACAACCCTGAAGATGATGAATCGCCATGAGACTCAACTCCAGTGTCTCGCCAGATGATGAGGGGTGCTCCAACTCATCAATCACTCCAGAGTCTGGATCCAGTCGCTCCGATACCAACTGTTATGATTCTGGTTGTTTGTTCTCTGAGACCAACACTCGCACACATAGACTTCCAGGTATGCCCATACATACACAGAAGGAAGGGGAGAGGATAGGAGTATCACACCGCACAGGGAGAGATAAACACAGCGGAAGACATGACCATGCGATACGACAGGGTACACTGAAAGTGCAATTCACTCCACTCAATCCTCACAAGCAGTCATAAAGAAAAGCCGAGCAGATCACATCCAGGAAAACACTGAAACGATGATAGTCCAAACCCAGTATCACACTGTTTATTAAACTCAGAGTCTTGAATTGTCAGGATACTTCAGTACTACAGTGCGCTGCTCAAAAATGAGCAGTGCTTCACTCCCCAACCCTGATTAGCACCCGTAACACCCCTGAGCCCCTGAAGCATCAAGCGCCACCCAAATACAGCCTCCTGAGGGAAGCGCCACCCTCAAACAGGCCTCTGAGGCCAAGCGCCACTCAGAGGATGAAGAAGAAGACCGACACCACAGTATCTGATGATGAAGTGTCAGAAGACTTCCCGGGTGGAAGTCTGCAGCAAGCCACCAAACCCTGACAAGATGACCTCTGAGGACGAAGCTGCAGCTATGGCTGCAGCGCCACCACCCTGGAACCCCACTCCGGAGGAGGGTCCAGCAGGGCACCAGCTTCTCTCGCCTCCAGCAGACCTCGATAGCCCAGACCTCTGTCAGCCCCTGCGTGCTGGCAGAGTACAGCGCAGGTCCCAGCTATGGCCGGCGCTCCGAAGGTCTGGCTATGCCTGTCTCCCTCCACACTGAGGCGTCACCACTTCCGGTTCACGCGTAGCGCAGCAGCGATGTACTCGGTACCAACTGCCAAAAGCCCTGAACCCATGTGCGCATTCTATCTATAGACTAACCTAGCCTAGACTCGACCTAGACCGGACTGACTGACCGACCGGTACCGTTTCTGTTTCGGCCTCTCGGCCTCTACCGGATCCGGCTATAGGCTATAGGACGGTCTAGCAGAATAGGCCCTTAGGGCCTGTCTGTCCTAGGGGTAGCCCGGGCCTGCTATTCACAGTTAGGGTAGCGGTAGGGAATTCTGTTTGTACCGGGCCTGCATTTTCCCCAAATTAGCAGATATGTCCCTCACGAATTTCCCTCACAGGTAGGTCTCTTGGTTAGCCCTCAGCCAAACAAAATTACGAATTTATCCTACCTATAGGACAGCCTCGACAGAGAGAGGCTACAGGCAACCAGAAAACAGCAAGTCATTGCATGGTAGTCAGAAAAACTGTAGGCTGGCTTAGTGGCTCATCTGGTGTACCTACTGATCTACACAGCTACCTATCTACTTACCTCTCCACCACTTCATGTATCTACCATACGTATCTACCTATGTACTTTGCCAGATCCCAAAGGTACTAGATTGGGACCTAGCATAGAAAGATGATGCACAACCTGGACGCTCAGCTACCCCTCTCACGTTGCTGTGGCCGGGTTTATGGAGGTCTGCTTGGGATGACTATTGAACAAACAATGTTGTGATGTCTTAGCATGTGTGGTAATGATGAAGTATCTGAACCGTTTATTTCATTTGGCATGACTGCAGTGGTATGAAGGGGCGGGAGAGCTGTATGTAAGAGGCCTAAGACAAATTGAAGCTCATTTACAGATCCTTGTAGTGTATCGAGATTCACTGAAGACGCCTGAAGGTAGGGAACTCCCATATTGATATCAGTCAACCTGTTTGCTTTTCCCTTTTCCTTATCAATCATAACCTGTTTGGTCCTGTCCTTTCCTGTATTACTGAATCCAAGTCTCTCAATGTCATGGCTCATTGCCCATCCCTTTCTTTGTCAGTCAATCTGTCTCGTCCTTTTTCTTGGTGTCATGTTGCATACGAGTCTATGAATGGATGGCTCTGTTTTCTGCATGCTGGAACTAACTTGTCATGCCTGAACATGCTGGACTGTTTTTGAAGAATGATGTCCCGCCATGCATGAGCATCCTGAATTGTTTTTCAAACTTTATAACGTTGTCTTTCTGCACTGAACCTGATGATATAACCTGTATTGCTGCATTTTTTCAAAGTGGAGCTGCACATTATTGATTTGTGCGTGCCATGCTTGCACGCACATGGCACTCATGGGCCATGATGATCTTCTCTGTATTGCTCCAATTTTAATGGATGTCCTGATGAAGGACAATGATATGGATGGTCTTCTTTTTTTTCTCTAAAGGTGTCTATGGTGTTATAACAGCAGGTTGGTCTAGTAATTCCAAATATGCTTTTCTAGGAGCACTATGATCTGCTGCTCAAGTGGTTTCTTATGAAGTTTCTATTGGTCTTATAGACTTATTATAATTATTGTATTAATTTGCGTAGGTTCTTGTAATTTTGCGGAGATTTTCATAGCACAAAAACAGATATGGTTTGATATTCCCGTCTTTAATATATTTATTGATTTTAATATTTTATTGAATTTGTTCCAGGGCTGGGCCAGCAACCGGGCGGATCACCTGCCCCGGTCCAACCGGGGCCGGACCGTTCCAGAGGGGGTGAACCGGCAAAACTGGATGCCCCCAAAAAATGCCCATATCTTTTTTTTTTTTTTTTTCTGATTGCTGCATCAGACTGCGCTCGCTGAGATCTGGCGGATTCCGCAATAAAATTTGCAAACTCAGGAATTTCTTCGGGGGCGAGTGGGGTTGGGGTGGGGGTGGGGGTAGGGTGGTGGGGGTAGGGGGGTGGGGACAGGTTTTATGGTGGCATCCGACTGCGCTTGCTATCGCTATGGCTATGGCTCAACGGGGAGGTGAGGAGGAGGAGGAGGAGTAGTAGTAGAAGAAGGAGAAGAAGAATCCGAGATGAAAAAAAGAAAAAAAAAATCGCTACCTACGGGTCGGGCTCAGCGGGGAGGTAGGAGGAGGAGGAGGAGGAGAAGAAGAAGAAGAAGAAGAAGAAGAAGAAGAAGAAGAGGAGGAGGAGGAGGAGGAGGAGGAGGGGAAGAAGAAGAAGAGGAGGAGGAGGAGGGAAAAAGATGAAGAAGAAGAGGGCGAGGAGAAGAACAAGAAGAAGAGGAGGAGGAGGGAAAGAGATGATGAGGATGAGGAGGAGGAAGAGAAAAAGAAGAGGAAGAAGAAGAAGAAGAAGAAGAAGAAGCGGAGGAGGAGGAGGAGGAGGAGGAGAAGAAGAGGATGAAGGGGGAAAAAGATGAAGAAGAGGAGGAGGACAAGAAGAAGAGGAGGAGGGAAAAAGATGATGAGGACGAGGATAAGGAGGAGGAAGAGAAGAAGAAAAAGAAGAGGAGGAGGAGGAGGAGGAGGAGAAGAAGAAGAAGAAGACGAAGAAGAGGAGGAGGAGGAGGAGAAGAAGAAGACGAAGAAGAGGAGGAGGAGGAGGAGGAGAAGAAGAACAAGAAGAACAAGAAGAAGAAGAGGAGGAGCGCTGGTGGACTTACCTTCGCGGCTATGGGGGGCTGTTGAGACAAAGCGGGCTGGCGGGGCGAAGCAGCGGCACACAGAGGTTGATGGTGGGCTGGAGACGAGGCGCTGGCATTGGTCGCGTGGTGGCAGCACACAACGTCGACGTGCATGCTGAATGGCACGACGTCAACCTTGTGTGATGTTGCTCTAGCATGGGGCAGGCGGGGCGGAGGGGCGGAGGCAGCACAAAACCACGCTGCGATTCACATTTCAAAACGCAGCCGATTTCGGCCGCAGATCCGCAGATCTGTGGTCGAGATCGACCGCGTTTTCAAATTGGAAAACGGGGGCCTACCGGACCCCCTTTTTTTTCGGAAACGCACGGTCGATCTCCACTGTCGATCTGCGCTGATCGGCGGCAGAGATTGGCTGCGCGTTCTCAAAAGAAAATGGGGTCCGGTAGGGCCCGTTTTTTTTTTTTCACTTGTGGCGGCGGCCTCCCAGAGGCTGGGCGGGGACGGGGACGCCTGAAAATCCCCCGTACCGCCCCCCAAAAGGAGTGCGCCAAATCAAACCGGGGGCCTGCCAGGCCAGTGAACCGCCCGGTTGGACCGGTAGGCTCCCAAGGTCCCCCGGTCCATCCGGGGACCAGCACTGATTTGTTCATCATACATACTAAATAGAGGTGCAAAACACCCAAACCCAAAATAAAAAAAGGAGCACAGCTTGTGCACAATCAATTGTTTTTTAACTACCGACTTTACGCTTATCCGGCGTATACTCTAACCAACTGAGTTATAGGCCCATGCTTGGAAAGACTTGAGGTGTTGAGTACGTTCTTAATACTCTTTGCATGTAGAGTTAGTGAGCCGTGTAATGGGCAACTATTTCGTATGGCTCAGAGGGCACTTCAGTAAGTGTGTGCAAATCAGATTGAAGTTTTCACCCCTATCCCTTTAGATGATGCCATAAGTTTCCAATTTTAAGAGAATTCCTGCTGAGATAACAGATCCAGCGCTGGGTGCTTCTACATGAGCTTCAGGTAAGTAAATATAAATATGAACTGGTATCATAGGTACTTTCATTGCAAGAGATGCAAAAAAAGAAATCCATAGCAATATTTGATATCGTTCACTAAATTCTGTTGCTGGACACCACAATCTACAATACTATAAGAACCGCTAACGTCATATCTACCGGCCCAGGTTGCGGCCCGGTCACCACCCGCGGACGGCCCAGATCGCAGGCGGATGAGAAACTTTTCTCATCGACCTGCGATCTGGGCCGTCCGCAGGTGGTGACCGGCCCGCAATCGGAGCCGTGCGATACCGGTTCGGCCCGCCCAAACGGCCCTTCTGAACGCACGCCCGCGCCGAGCCCTGAAATCGCCCTTCGAAGGGGCGGGCTTCTCAACCGTCTCGGGCGCTACGGCACGCGACGCCACACGATGGCACACGACGGCACGCGACGGCACTCCCTCCTGCCCTACCGCTCTCTCTCTCTCTACGGCACGCGACGGCACTCCCTCC